CAAAACCTGCACACAGCTCTTCCGCCATTTTAAGCTTTGAGCAGTAAGCAAGGGCTCGACATCAAGTCTATGATTTAAAGTAAGGTCCGTGGTTAACGGTCTATGGTTTAGGTTTTCAGGTTTGGGTTTTAACTCCCGGGACCACATGTGCGACTTTCCAGGGCAGTGGGGGACGAGGGGTGATCAACATCAAAAGCAAGCCTAATCAGAAGCAAATCATCAAGCCCTCACAAGTCTGTCCCAGGATTTGTTCTTTGCTTTCGGAGCCCTTGAAGGACTTGCTCGCGTGGGAGCTTCATCGAAGGCCTTGTTGACTGCCTCAAAGCTTCGGATTCTCGGAGCTGCGCGATGACTTGTGGGAATGTTCTCCAGAATTCATAAATAAACTGTTGCCAGCCATTCTACTGTAGGGCAGGCAGAAGCCCAATTTACAACCTGTTCCGGTCCTGGTGTTCTAGTCCGCCACGCCATTTCAATTTCTTTCGATCTCGAAAGCCGTGGTGCAGACTTCTTGGGCGCCATCGGCTATTCTACATACTTCATGGGGCCATCGAGGCCATGATGATGAGGTGCAGCTGCACAGAGTTGTTCTAATGGCTTGTGTGTCAGGAAAGACTGCATAGAAGGTAATAATTAGGCATGAAGCTTCCTTCACGCAGACTCCTGTTGCGATCGGCCCATATGTTCAGGCACAGCTGCACATGGTGACAACGAGGTAACAGCTCTCTCGAAGACAAAGCCATACATGTATACAAGCCTCACAAGAGGTGCGGTGGTTCGCTCATGTCTTGTATTCGAAGGGTGTGCAGCGTCGCCGTCTCCGAGTCGACCTTGGCAGAGCAGGTGGGGGTTGCTGTCGAGGGTTCGGCCAGCGAAGGGCCTGCCGTCTTGCCCGTCTGCAAACCTGGGACAGCTGGGGAGGTTGTTTCAAGGTCACCTATTTTCGAAGTACGGCCTTCGCACTATGCATTTCCTTGACCGAGTGCATCTAAGAATCCAATCCGATGGAGGATGAACTCTTCCGTGCCGGTGAGAGCGCCTCCCACATGACCTTCGTCCTTTCCGGCAACTTCCAGTATCAGCCGGGTGCTCGTGATATTGCGGCGGTAGATCGCGATGCCCTGATATCAGAGGTGCTGCCAGAAGGCACCCAGGTGCTTGCAAGTCGAAGGTACAATCTGGATTGGGCGTCTTTGTTGTGCCAATGCCACACCCTTCAGCACATTTCCGTGAGTTAGGAGCAAATTAACCCGGTCCCCCTACTGTTAAATACTCGGAAAGTGTTTGCATTATTAGGGGATGTTTATGTCAATTGAGCTACTGCCACTTTTGAGGGGGCGTGCTCTTGCTCCCGGGCTGGCTTTTGCTCCTGCTCGTGCTGCTCTCTTGCTCCTGCTCCTGTTCTTGCAAAGGGTGTTTGGAATCTCGAAATCCTCCCCCCTAATTCAGAATAGGTTTTAAAGGGCAGGGATGATTTCGGGAGGATGGGGCCCAATGTGTTTTTATTATTAGGGGGGTGCTTAGTACAAGGGGGGCAATTAGCGCCACACTCTAGCATGTTTTGCAACGATGTGCATCGCCATCCTTAGTCTTTGAGAGTACCGTCTAGTTGATCGCATTTGTGTTTTTGTTGTTGTAATAGCAGAGTGGCTTTTGCAACAAGCTTTTGCGAGCTCAACAGCAGGGTCCTCGTTTTTGCTTTCATGTCCTGGCAGCTGTGGCATAGTGTGCAGAATCGCTCCCTGGCTTTCAGCTTGTTTGTGTCGGCAACCCTCAGACTAAAGGTTGGATCTACTTCTGAAGACTGCGGGAATTGATGAATGCTGCGGTGTTTTCATGTACATTTTCTGTCATGGTCGAGGCCTGGATACGAGTTCCAAGAGACGCGAGCCCAGCTTCCAAAGAGTGAATCAAGGAAGTACAGGTGGTTCTTCTACTTCGTGAGTGAATTTTATTCATCTCATATGCAGGGCTCGAGTGGGGCACTGCGATCTAGCATGTGGTTGAGCAGAGCATCGTCTAGCAGATGTCAAATGGATCAGTGGGATACTTTGGCAGTTGCGCCCATCCAGCGGTTGAGCACGTCCTCATGGCTTTCGGGCTTTCGCCTTCTGCATCAATTGACAAACGCCGACAGCCTGACTCTTTGGCACACTGCTGTCCTCAGGCCAACCGACATTGGCGAGGACCTTAAGTTTTCAGAACAGAGTTGGGTAGTTTGGGTGCCGAGCGCACTTTCCCATAGCACAGATCTTAGGCCCGTACCGCTGGCTCGTGGAGCCCTGTCTCTGGACGGACTGGCAGCACCAAGGAACGCTGGGCCCTTGACACCAGCGAGGGCAGATAGTTGCAGTGATGGTATTAAGCAGCATACACCCACATGCCCAACGCAAGCCCCCGCAGTAGACTCCACACAATCACAGAGTGGCCTCGGATGCAGCAGTGGCTCCTGAGCATATGGTTGTTTGCAAGCCACCTTAAATGAGGGATTTCGATAAGTGTCACGATGACAAGTGGTGTTGTCAATCGTGGGTATTGCAGGTTGGTTCAGGCACTAGGCACCTTGCCAGGGAGTTCGTGCCAAACCAAAACAGACGACAGTGGTGACAGGTTCATCACTTTGCAGAGCGAATCCCAGAAGGAGATGCAGCAAGCTTGAGCATCCTGCAGCATTGAGGTTTACGGCCGTCAAGACCGGTGAGCCCAACACTTAGCCAGACGCCGCACATGCTGTGTAATGAGTAATGAGTATTGAACAGTAGCCTGCCGCTGTGCATGGATGATCACTGATGACCCTTTGGACAGGTTGTTTGATGAATCTTTCGGATCCGGTTGTCTTCAGCTTTTTCAAAGTCCTGGACCCCGATCGCAGGATTGCTGCAACTACCCTTTGGAGGTTGTTGAGGTTGTTATTGCTTCATTTTTGGGAACCCTGTTTTAGTCATGGGGTTGGCGTGTCGGATGTGCTCCATAGCCTTCCAAAGCACGAAAACCTAAACCATACTTTAAGTTGCGTGCCTGTTCCACGAAACAATGCACTCACGAAATGCCCTATGCACGGTAGCCGTTCCGAAGATTCGGCAGGCACTTTGGATACCACATGTTGCAAGATGCAGATGCTTCGATGCAATGTTGCTACAGTCATGTGAACTGATGTGTTTTGCAGAGCCATGTCTGGCTTGATAGATGCTGGGTGCCGAAAGCCGCCGGAAGTGAATCGATATCAGGTTGTGTCATCTGGACCCTGGCAAGTTCGCAGATGTCATGCAGGCAGGGCTTCCGCCGTCTAATGTGCCATGCAGAGCATAGTGGCATGACCAAGCGTTTGGTCGCCCATGCCTCTCGCAGGCGCATGTTTGGTGCGGGCCTTAGCATCTGCAGACATCGCGGGACACTCCAGCCAGCTACAATCCTAGCAGAGATCTCGCATTTGGCGATAGCTGAGGCCATGGAACTTCTGCAAGCAGTATGCATTGGGCTTCCTTGATGCCCTCAACAACCTGGAGCCTCGGCTCTGGAAGAAGACAAGCGAGTCGCAGACTTGTTCAGTTCATTGGAGCCGCGTGGCCGGACGCATAAATCGGTAGCAGTACAGGGAATTAAAGTAACGATTCGTAATAGTGGTAGCAGTAGCATGTTGGTGACTATGCTGCTGCTGCTGCTGGTGGTGGTGGGGGTGGTGGTGGGGGTGGGGGTGGGGGTGGGGGTGGGGGTGGGGGTGGTGGTGGGGGTGGTGGTCGGCTGGGATTGGTGGTGGTGGTGGTGGTGGTGGTGGTGGCGGTGGTGGTGGTGGTGGTGGTGGAGGTGGTGGTGGTGGTGGTGGCGGCGGCGGCGGTGGTAGTCGTGGTAGTCGTGGTCGTCGTCGTCGTTGGCGTCGGGGTCGTCGTCGTTGGCGTCGTCGTCGTCGTCGTTGTTTGGCGGCGTCGTCATTGTCGTTGTCGACGTCAATGTTGTAGTAGGCCTAGTAGCACTTGCAGTAGTGGCATGGGCAGTCGAACTGATGGTTTCGCACATTGGCGATGGTGGCTTGCAAATTGGGGACTGTTCCGAGATGTTTGGTTCGACGCAGCTAGATCCGTTTGAGACCAAGGATGCGTTTGAGACGTCGGACTTGTCTGGGCCTGAAGCATACGGACGGGGCTTGTCCGTGGCCTCGTTTCGATTCAGTTGAGGATCTTAGTCGTGCCAGCCTGCCGTGCATTGGCATTTCAAGTGCTGATTCGTGCAGGCTTGGCCAGTTTGTGGTGGACACTGGCCTTGAGCACGGACCTTACTTCTTTGCCTGTGCTGGAATCACTTCAAACAGGCTTCAGCCGAAGATTCGGCAAAGACGAAAGTACAGCATCGAAGGATGAAGCAGCCTGTCCTTCGCATTCTTCAGAGCCACCTCATGCTTGAAAGCAACCAGGCAAGCGCTCGCCGCAGCCCGGGCAGAATCAGATCAGGTCGAGATGGACCGGAGCGTCGGGATGCAAGTGTGGCTCAGATCGTCTACTACCATTACCACTACCACTACCACTACCACTACTACTATTACTACTACTACTACTACTACTACTACTACTACTACTACTACTACGACTACCACTACGACTACCACTACGACTACGACTGCGACTACGACTACTAATACTGCTACTGCTACTACTACTACTACTACTACTACTACTAGCCATTCAAACTGCTACTTCTACTGCGATTACCACCACCACTACTACTACTCCTACTCCTACTCCTACTCCTCCTACTACTACTACTACTACTACTACTTCTTCTTCTTCTACTACCACTGCTGCTACTCTATTCAAACTGCAAATACCGCTTGTCCGCGTTTCTACGGATATCTGCGACCACGAGTACAGGACTGGCTGGAAGAAATCAACGATCAATGGAGTGGCTTACCGCAAATTAGTGTTGGCTTGGGTGTAAGACCAAGCACCGCATCCCTCGACACAAGGATTCAGGATAAAAGACATTGAAGGTGATTTCGTCTGCTAGCGCAGTAGTGCAAGCCAATAAGCCAGATTCCAACAAGTTTGAACAGGGTTAGCCAAAAGATACGCTT